ATAATAATAATAATAATAATAATAATAAACACATAATATACCATGAAAGAAAATAAAAATACATTTTTCACATGAATTTATGAACATAATAGCAATATTAAAATGTATAAAATATTTAATTATTTTGTTTTTATTGTTTTTATTCATATTTGGATTTAATATCTAGAATTAAAATATTTGAACATGGTAATAAATTTATTAGAAAGATTAATAATGTTAAATAATATCAAATTTTATTTATTATAATATGAATATCTATAAACTATAACTACATAGTTTAGTCAAAAGGTTCCTTTTATTAAAGTAAAGTTTAGAAACTTTTTTCAATAATATTTTTATCGAAAAATTCAATTTCAAAAGAGAAACAAAAACTTATAAACTGAAATATAAGGGTAAAAACTACTATATTATAGAATAGTGGACAACATGTAAAAAAATTAATGTGAAGACTTATTGTCTAATAGTTGAATGTTCATTGCTTAATATGTCTTATATATTTAATATATTTATAATAGTAAAACTATAAACAACGATTAGTAATTTGATATATATATATATATATATATATATATGTATATAAAAGAGCGAAGATTCACTCAAAATTTTAATTTGTGTCATCTTATGATTGTGCAAGAACTAATAAATATTTTCACGTCAAATGAACTAAGAAATCATACATGACCCACATAAGATATGAACTTCCATTTATCTAGAACTTTGTCTTGATATCATTTATAATTATTTTATTTTACTTATAAATTAATTACTAAGCATTATAAAAACTATGCATGCATGCATATTAAAGAATAAACTAAATTATAAAAAGTAAATTAATTGATTACTTGAGCACGCGTTAGTGTTGAAGACAAAATTAAATATGATAGACGCACACTGTTGATTACTCATACACAGATTAAGTAAAGTACGTAAAAGAAAAAATAAAAGAATTCATAAGGCGATCATAATAACAGGTTTGTTCTATATTTTACTTCGTTGCTGTAATGATATGTTTAATAAATTAATTAATTTATTTGGCTAAATTTAATCGGAAAAAAACATTAGCCGATAATCAAAGTTGCTTGAACATAATATGTAAAATTTACATGAATTTAATAACATGACATAAAATTACTCAAATGCCTTTTTCGAAAAAAATAGAGTACCAAGTAGGATAGAGGAGATAATAATAATAATAATAATAATAATAATAATAATAAAGAAAAACACATAATATAATATGAAAGAAAATAAAAATGCATTTTTCACATGAATTTATTAACATAATAGCAATATTAAAATGTATAAAACATTTAGTTGTTTTATTTTTATTGTTTTTATTCATATTTGGATTTAATTTCTATTATTAAAATATTTGAACATGGTAATAAATTTATTACAAAGGATAATAATGATAAATAATATCAATTTTTATTTATTATAATATGAATAGCTATAAACTATAGGCTACATAGTTTAGTCAAAAGGTTCCTTTTATTAAAGTAAAGTTTAGAAACTTTTTTCAATAATATTTTTATCGAAAAGTCAATTTCAAAAAAGAAACAAAAACTTATAAACTGAAATATAAGTGTAATAACTACTATATTATAGAACAAGGGACAACATGTAAAAAAAATAATGTGAAGACTTATTGTGTAATAGTTGAATGTTTATTGCTTAATATGTCTTATATATAATATACTTATAATAGTAAAACTATAAACAACGATTAGTAATTTGATATATATACATAAAAGAGCGAAGATTCACTAACAATTTTAATTTGTCTCATCTTATGATTGTGCAAGAACTAATAAATATTTTCACGTCAAATGAACTAAGGAATCATACATGACCCACATGGGATATGAACTTCCATTTATCTAGAACTTTGTCTTGATATTATTTATAATTATTTTATTTTACTTATAAATTAATTACTAAGAATTATAAAAACTATGCATGCATGCATATTAAAGAACAAACTCAAATATAAAAAGTAAATTAATTGATTATAAAAAGTAAATTAATTGATTACTTGAGCACGCGTTAGTGTTGAAGATAAAATTAAATACGATAGGTGCATACTGTTGATTACTCATACACAGATTAGGTAAAGTACGTGAAAGAAAAAATAAAAGAATTTATAAGATGACCATAATAGAAAGTTTGTTTTATATTTTACTTCGTTCCTGTATTGATATGTTTAATAAATTAATTTATTTATTTTACTAAATTTAATTGGAAAAAAAAATTAGCCGATAATCAAAGTTGCTTTAACATAATATGTAAAATATACATGAATTTAGTAACATGACATAAAACTACTCAAATGCCTTTTTCGAAAAAATAGACTACCAAGTAGGATAGAGGAGAAAATAATAATAATTATAATAATAATAATAATTATTATAATAATAATATTAATAATAATAATAATAAAAATA